GGCTCACATGGGTCTGATTTTGATGAGTTTCCAAAGGACAACTGTAATTATTAATAACAAGTGTGTCCTCATCCAAGATCTGCAATGGCTGGATGCCATTTAAACGTCTCAGATCTCCTCAAGTAAAATGAGAAAAAAGGTCACAGGACTGAAATGGAGAATTCATGATGATGAATCCCTATCAGTGTGGCGGGGATATTTGAGGCTGACTTTTTCCAGCTTGAACAGGCACTAAACTTCAGAGGCTTCATAGTGTTCTTTCTATAAGACCCCTGAATAAAGACATTTGCAAGTCTGATCCAAACTGACTTCACTGAGTCCATAACATAGCAAACATTATAGGTTTCAAAGCTAACTTCCTAGCATATAACATATTTTGAACTTTGCAACCTTGCAGCACTGCTATATATTTTTTGTTTTTAATCCAAGAAAATGCCTGAGATTGATTTGATTGGATACAGATTGCCAAATTTAAACTTTAGGAATAACTACTCAACAAACCTAGTTTACATTTACATTAAATCTCAATTTCCACATCTCATACAAGTAGAGTAAAGTATCAACGAGCTAATAGTTCTGTGGCCACATCATTATTTGACTAATTAAGGCTAACAATTTAGTGCTAATAGGAAAGGTACCAAGCAATACGTTTTTGTAACGTAATGATCCTGAGCTTTGGAAGATCTCAAACTAACTTCATAGCATATAAGATATTTTGAACTTTGCAAACTTGCTGCACTGAGACCTGCTTGATTACTTTGTCTTGGATATAGACCGATATCAGCCTTCTATTTAACTGATTTAACAAAGAAGAAACTCTAGGAAAAACTATTCAGAAAACATAGTTCACATTTACATTAAATCTCAATGTCCACATCTCATACAACGAGCTAATGTTCCTGTGGCCAAATAATGAATTGTCTAATTAAGGCTGACTAAGTAAACAAACAATTTAGTGCTAATAGGAAAGGTACCAAGCAAGAAGTTTGTGTAACGTAATAATCCTGAGCTCTGGATGATCTCAAGAAGCTTCCGATGCTGATCCTCAGACTAGATAAGGCCCCCTGGAGTTTTGATCTGGGATAATGAACAACTAAATCTTCCTACAGTGGGCTCAGCTGGTGTGTGTGTGTGTGTGTGTGTGTGTGTGTGTGTGTGTGTGTGTGTGTGTGTGTGTGTGTGTGTGTGTGTGTTGTGTGTGTGTGTGTGGTGTGTGTGTGTGTGTGTGTGTGTGTGTGTGTGTGTGTGTGTGTGTGTGTGTGTGTGTGTGTGTGTGTGTGTGGTGTGTGTGTGTGTGTGTGTGTGTGTGTGTGTGTGTGTGTGTGTGTGTGTGTGTGTGTTGTGTGTGTGTGTGTGTGTGTGTGTGTGTGTGTGTGTGTGTGTGTGTGTGTGTGTGTGTGTGTGTGTGTGTGTGTGTGTGTGTGTGTGTGTGTGTGTGTGTGAACCGTTAGCATACGCTGCTCGACACAGGGCTGCTCATTCCTGTGAACACATGTTGTGTATTCTCTCATTGTTAATGGGAGCTGACATAACCGGAGAGGCTGCGGTATCATCTCCCATCTCAGCATCTTGTATCCATTTACTGAATCAATAGAAGAGTCATTCCACAAGTGTGAGGTTTGAAGAGTCCATGCATCAATAAACAGTTGTGCAGATGATGAAGCCTAAGGATTTGATGTAGCCCTTGCAAACAAACAAGGGAAACAAACAACCTGTCCAAAGGTTCAGAGGCCGAGCGTTGACTCAGATGTGGTTTGAAAGTTATTTAAATGAAGGATAGTGTTTATGTATTTCGTCTGGAGTTGAGTCCAAGCCCTTACTCGACTCGGTCAGGCAACCATTTCTCCCTTTTCACTCTTCTCTTGTTCGACATTTAGCCAACACCGTAAAATGTGATCGCCCCACTAGTTAGGAGAGTTTTCCCTCCCTTTTTTCTTTGCAACTTGATTTGTTTGGCACTTGTCAGCAGTTTTGATTTCGGCACAATTCGTCACATGATTGTTTGGTCTTGTGAGGTTTGCAAACTCTGTCGTTTCCATGGGTTTAACTGTCCCCAGCTTTCTATCTACTAAATTGTGAGTGGACGATGATATAAGACATGTTTGCACGATACTAGCAGATGGCCAGCTGATCTGCGTCACTGAAACCTTTCCTGGTCCTGCTATAAAGCACAAACACACTCTACTAAATTGATCGGGATGCATTTAGGGGCAATTTGTAGTCTGGGAACTTTAAGTGCCTCAGAGATGGTCTGGAACCTTTTGTTGATCCTGCGCTGGAATTTGTTTTCCACAATGCCTTATCTGCCTTTCTGATGTTTGGTGCTTTTTCCCAGGCAGCACTGAAAGCTCAAAGCTCATGGTGAACACAACCCGGTGTCCATAAACATTTTTCTCTATACCGCTGAAAGAAAAAGCTATACAGTATGCCCTAAGGTATACACATATTGACACATAACACAGAAGCAGTATTCTCTATTCATGGCTTGCTATCTTTTTGCCCAGACAAAGAGAACTTGAGAGCATGGAGCAGGAAAATAAGCCTTGGAGCTGGCTTTGCCTTAACCTTAACTGAACCATCTTCAGCATGTGGCAGCCAGCTGGTGTGCTTGCTAATCCAGAAGATGCTGCCTCTGCACATTCTCCCGAGCTCTGCTACTTGAAATGTGCTGGGCTCGAGGTCAAAAACTTCCATCCTCATCATTTGTCACAATTACTCTATGTGCCGGTCAGGATCCAACTAGGTCATTCATTTCATAGTACTCGAGGCTGTATGACCAAAAGAAAGTCATCTTGGATTGAAGGCTATGATTCCTATTTAGTTTTCTTATAAAATAGGCAGAACTCCAGCACTGTTAAAACCACAGAACTTAACAAGCTAGATATGCCAGCAACTTTAACTTTGCTTGCTGTCGAAGCAATACGTCTTAAAGTGGACCTATCATGCTATATTTAAATGATATATTGTAGGGCCATACCTATATAAGGTATATTTATACGTTTCTGTTTTCAAAATACCAAACAGATCATGCATTTTAGCCATGCCTCATTTCGCTCTATGTGCTGTTTGCTGTCTACGGGTCTGATTCTGCTGACCACGCCCCCCTGCAGGAGAGGTGAGCCGTGCTCTGATCAGCTGCTGGGCTGTCAGAAGAGGGGGAGAAAAAGAGATCTCCGTCCTCGTGTTTTATTATATAGAGTCATTATTCATTTGTTTTAAAGCTCAATAAATAACAAAGAAGACCTTTGACCGGCACTTTTCAAATTTTGTCCGGAAGATTTAAACTTTAACTGACATCTTGACCGGCGAAAGAAACTGAAACTGATACTCTGCCGCCCGTTCCCATCGTTCCTTGGAAGAGGCGGAGAGGTGGGTGTTTGTCATCTGCTGGTGGACTAACCGAGAATTACAGTGCTTGCCTCAACGGGGAGGGATTGCATTGAATTAAAGCAGCGGGAGCAAACGCTTGCCTCGGGGAGGGAGAAAGAAAGCCACAGCGGAGAATAAACAGAAGGGTAACCATGGTAACTATGGGCGGGAAGTCTTCTTAGGGCGTAGTAATCAGCAGCGAACCGCTTCAACACGTGTATTGCGGTTTATTCACGGCATTCATTTAGTTATTCTACAGTATTGTTGTTTTATAGTTATTTGTTAATGTATACAACCCAATTTGTGTTCTTTGAAATTGAAAAGGATATTGTGTTTGTTACTTTCGTTGCAGGTGTATATGTCTTAAGTGTAATTTGGCTTGGCTTCCTATTTTGTATGGACATGCTTTTATTTTGAAGGAGAGTTAGTGCTGTTGACAGGAAGTTGTTGTTGCTATGGAAACAATGTGACAGAGATTAACGGAGAAAAGTCATATCTACATATAAAGACGGAGAAAGTAACAAATAATAACGAAATTGAAACCCGAATAGTACTCCAACGAACGAATATTCGGATATTCGGGTACAGCCCTACTGAGGGTATTGGCATACAATTTTGGTGTATATTTTTTAATTGTAGGCCTACAGTTAAACGTGTAACCAAGATCTTTTTCTGTCACAAATTGTTGTGTGCCATGGTGCTTCAACCCGTTAAATAGGGAACCCTACGTAATTATCGGTGTTCCCGTCTCAATACACTCACAACTTGCCACGGCCATTTCCTTTCTTTTGCAGTCTTGACGTGTATTACAAATATATCCTGCAATAGTATACACGTTTATTTCTCCCCCACACTATTCCATAGAAACTCCAGGCTTAATAGAGGATTATGGCCAACTGTCTTCAGGTGTACGGATAAGCTGCACAGAAAGACATATTTTCCGGAACAATGGCTTAGTTAATGAATCTCTCAAATTACAGTAAAAATATGCCTTTTGTGATGGTTTTCTCCATTTTAATTTGGCACATAAACCCCTCTGAGATTTGGTGTGAAATTAAACCTCTGATTGCATTTTTATGCTTAATGTTCAATTGAAAACTAATCAGCAGTGACTTTATGGAGCAGGAAATGAAATACATTTGCTATATGTTCGGGAGACGACTTCTTCAAAAGCAGAGCAAATTGCTTATTGAGCCCAGTGAGATAGTTACTTAGCCTGCAGATCGAATGTTTCTATCGTGAAGCTTAGTTAGAGTTTTGAGAACTGGAAAGGTGAGCACATGTTCCTGGGAGCAGATTACCAGAGCAGATTGTGACTTTAGATGTCCTCATCAGATTGGGATTTGTCAAAGATTTGGTTCACTTATTACAAAAGTACCTGTTGTCACGCAAACATCACCAACCATGTCTCTTCCACGGAGTTCATAGCCACATTTTTATGTCAGATTTTGGCGTTTGAAAGCGAATATCCTGTTATAATAGTTTGTCGTTACAATTCTTATTTTGGACTTCTTTGAAGAAGGATTCAACGTCATTGCTCTGACGGCTCATAAAGACTCAGGTTGCTTCAGTGTGAGCTATCCTGCCTTAAAGAGAGAGAGATGTAACACTGAATTATTTCTCCTTCACAGATACACTGACAGCTGCTGTCTCATCCAGCCTGCTCCAACCTGCTGTACTCACCTGCTCGGCGGAGCACTGTTTGAAAGCTAAGGTACAGTACAAATGCTGTTTCTGTCTCAAGTGGATCTTGTCTGATAAAATATTGAAGAAGATTTCATTTGGGGCGACTTGGAGTCTCTGTTTACCGATCTCTTAAATGCACTATTTAGATTGTCACATTACATCCAAATCATGGTCGACTCTAAGGAGACATCCGCAGAGGACACTTCATTAATGGATGCTTTGTGGAAAAACTGCCTCTGAAGAAGCTTTTTAAATCTACTCAATTTATCTACTTAGTCTAAAAGGCAGGGATTAAACTTTTCAATGTTTGGCACACTTTTACTTTCCTGGCAAACTCAGCATTATATAACAAATGCATTGCAAATAATGGGAGAATTGTGGTCACGGTTTGTTATGCAATGTTGTATTGTTGTGCACCAAACTACTTTTACTAGGTTCAACAGGCAGTTATGAAAACACTCTCAGCTGCCAGTTGGACCAGTTGCGGTTACTCCACATGAAAGACTTCTCTATTTGTCTTCCTCTCCGAGAGATTCTCACTAATTTGAAGTTGGCGAGGCGCCATTGATGACAGTTGATGAATCTGACGAGAATTGAGGTTGTCTGCTTGCGGTGCCAGGCTACTGTCAATCAAATCTTATCAATCCACCGAGTCTTGATGAATCAGATGAGATGCATTTGATTAAACTCTTTATGAGTAAAAACTAGCAGTGTGTCCTCCTTATGAAGTTGAACTTGTATTGTTGCTCATTAATTCAGGATGATATCATATTATAGAAGCCATGTTCTCAGAAGCTTTAGGCATTGCAACACTATTGCAATTTCTATCAGGAAGAAACTGGTTTCATGTGCTCTTCCATGCAATGAGTATCTCTTAGGTAGTTTGTAGCTTTGTTTTATTGTAGTTTATAGTTGTATGCCTGCTTCTATGCATCGTTATTCTACTACAAAATGTCCATTATGCCCAAGCTACCTGTTGCATATCAATCCGTCCGTTTTCTTTCTCAATTATCTAGGGGTAAAGGGTGCCATATGTAATTTATTGATTGATCTGTGAGTACATTGGATACAAATACGGCGTCCACACCTGTTTGACGGTTTTCATTAAGGTGAGCTCTGTTGTCAAGTTGTCCGGTAGACGAAAGGCGAAACGTCTTCGTTGAAACTTGTAGAATCACTGAGAATCTATAATGTCTGGCCGGGCATTTCCCCAGCGAGCGTGAATGTGGACAGTAGAGGACAGGGCCAAGGAGCAACGATGACAGGACGCCTCGTGGGACGGCTGGAAACAGATGGCTGGCCAGATGCGGGTCTGCTTTGACCTTGAATGCATCTGAAGTTAAAAGCAGAAAGTGACGAAAGAGAATACAGCAGGAGTGGCAGTACTGTGTTTCGTAATATTCTGCAGGACTTGTTGGTACACCCGTAGATTGTGTGGGATCAGGCATGCAGGCGTTATCTCATCAGAGAAGTTAGTTAACCTTTTTCTGGTGGATCTAATCTGGTTAATTTCAATTGTAGTTTTGTGTCAGCAAATAGTGGCCATAAGGTTTAACCTAAGCCCAAAATGCCAATGCCTGAATCCAAAATTCAATTAACTATCACGGAAAATTCAGAGCACCTAATCTCTGAATCAATGCTGTTTTTTTAATAATACAACTCACACAATACCCAATAAAGAAAAACTGCCGACTAGTTTTCTGTCACTTGACTTAATGATTAATGCACACTTCTTTTCCCACGCTTTAATGGGTATGACTGGAGTTGATTTGCTGATCACAGGAGAAGAGTAGTCAGACCTGATCGCCTGAAGAGTTTCAGAGAAGCTTTTATAGGCATGTCACTACAGGTTTGCACCTAAGTGTGAGTGTGTTGTTTTTGTTCGTTGGGTTTGATGACAGCGACAGATCAAAGGTTTGAATCCAATTGTAAATCTCTCCAAGATGTAATGTTCCAAAATGAAGACCCTTGGTTGAACTGGGTTTTCTGATATGCTTGTGATTGTTTAGGTAAACTATATAGTTCATACAGTGATGGAACAGAAGCAATCTTTTTGTCAACACTATTAGACACTCGTTCTTAATACAATCCGGGAAGCAGAGTGTGAGACAAAGCCACCAGCAGTCTGATATTGTACAGGCCTCTGGGGCTTTGAGCAAAGGAAGAGCCATGATCAGAGCTGGGAACTGCATGGTGTTGTAGGGGGGGGCTGTGAGAAACGGGAGGAGATGGAGGATGCTGGAGGTGTCAGGCGTATAATTGGGGTGAGGAGATCTCGGGGGTGGATAGAGGGAAGCTTTATTAAGACCGCTCAAGTCTGATGTGCCTGCGCGGCCGCCTAGTTCCCCCGCACACACCCACGCCTGTGGCCCAATCTTCCATTTCCACAAGAGACTCAGTAACAACAAAGGGATGAAGGGCAAAGTCCTCAAGCTCCTTTCAGTCACAGATAAGAGAGAAGACCCCATTACTTGAAAAGCACTGATGGGGAGTGTATGGATATGGCTTTTTCTTTTTTAAATGAGGCCTATTGTTTCTGCCTCCTCCATGCTGAGATACGTTGCTATTACTTATTGATAGCGCGGTTGTATTGTATCCTGAGATGGAGATATTGTGTCTCAGTTGCACTACAATGAGACATGCCAGCAAGTGCCACGTCACCGTTAAATGCCCCCTGAATCCACTTAAGCTTTTTGATAGAAGAAGCTAGAAAGGCCTTTTCTCCTCGCCGGTTTTCTTAGAAGATTATAGATTTTCGCATTAGCACTTCCAGTGACACATTTAGACAGTGTACACTTGACAAGTGCATTCAATTCTCCTTGTATTATATGTCGGCCGAGAGTCAGCAAATGCATAGCTTGGACATTTATTGAGAGCAGAGCGCTTATGAAATATTTACGGCCCAAAGTGTAGGCAAATATTTGCGCTGAGAGGCGATAAAAGCGGAATAATCCCTTGTTTTGCCTCCACAAGGGAAAACAAACTTTCCAGGGTGACTTCCACCGTGACTGATCGTATCAAATCTGATGGAAGATTAGGAGCTTAGCTGCTTATTGTCCCCAGCCTGTGACCATTGAAATGTTACTTTTGATCAATTAAGTTCCTAAAACTTGAACCTGAAACCCTTTGTAGATGCACGCTCTCTTGATATTTACCATCCTGAAAGACTCTGCCACCCTACAAAAGCAGATTTTGTGAGTGACAAAACAGAGCTTTGGAGTTCAGGCGGGAGGCGGTTACGGGGAGATTTAGTGGCCCCCCTCAGTTCTCTGCTGTAAATTGGTTTTTGCAGAACTCAGGGAAAAAAGGGCTGGAGGTCTGTTCTCTGCTTCCTCAGGAGCTGCTAATCCCCCTCAGCTCTGGCCAGAGGGAGAGCTGCTGCTGCTCAGACACTGGCCTCCTGCAGCCCCTCGTCCTCTTTCCCCTCGTCCTCTCTCCTCTCCTCTCCGTCCTCTTTCCTCTCGTCCTCTTTCCTCTCCTCTCTCCCCTCCGTCCTCTCTCCTCTCGTCCTCTTTCCTCTCCTCTCTCCCCTCCGTCCTCTCTCCTCTCGTCCTGCAGGGATGTCTAATCCGCTGCATGGTCATGGTGGAGAGATTGCCGGATTTTTCAAAGCCCTTTGCTGGCTGGACTTCAAAGTTCCAGGGATACAGAGACTTGAGGAGGTGGGAGTAAATTGAGGTCCACCACGAGGAAAGAATTTGAGGGGCTCTGCTTTTTCTTTTGAAATTCCTGAGGTGACACCAAAAATGTATGGTCTCAAAATGAAAGGCTTTTTTTGATCGGTAAGACTCTGAAGATCACCTGGGGGTGATGTAAGCACACGTGGATGTCAAGCTGTAAATGTGCTTTTTTTTTAATAAGGGCTCTCTACGTTGACACTCGTAAATAACCTGTAAAGCTTAATGCATTTAAAAAAAGGTTTGACCCAATTGTCCTCCCGTAATTTATCATGAATCACATGACAGTGAAAAGGGAGATCGCATAAATCTGCACAAGTTACATGTATAGACCATTGGACATCAGTATCAACATCACGTCCTCGGTGTAATAGCAGACCTTATCTACAACAAATGTTCTGCACTTCTTGTGCAGAACATTTGTTGTAGATAAGGTGTGGTGATAAGGTGTGGTGAAAATGGCGGAAAGGCATTTTGCAGAACCTTGCATCAGTTTTTTGAAGTTTCACAAGGACATGGTTACCACTGTAGCAACAGATAGTGTTAGCAATATGATAGCGGCAGCAACAATACGACCATACAAGTATATGTGTAGCGCACATTATACACAACAGTGGCTCTCCATGACAGCAGCTTTGTCGATGCTTTAGCTAAGTGCCAGAAAATGTACAAACTTCAGGCCAATAATTCAGAAATCGTGTTTTAAAAAAAGTGAAAAACGCTCTGATTTCTCTTACCAGTTTGTCGTGCATTTGCTGTTACACCACATTTGTTTTATTTTTGTATTGATTTACAGCACTTGTTTTATCGGTTCATAAAAGCAACAAGACAGTATGAATGACTCAGGATGAAGACACTAAAAGCGTACCTATCTTTATAGAAGAATAGAATTGGGAGGGATGCAACCCTCTGTAATGGTCACACATGCAGAACACACAGCACACACAGTGAAATGTGTTCTCTGCATTTAACCCATCCTAGTACCAGGAGTCTAGTACTAGGAGCAGTGGGCAGCTATTGTACAGCGTCCGGGGAGCAATGGGAGTGAGGGGGGAAGGGGGGTGTCCGGTGCCTTGCTCAAGGGCACCACGGCAGGGCAGGAGGTGAACTGGGACCTCTCCAAGTAGCAGTCCACACTCCATATTTTAGGTCTGGTCGGGGACTTGAACCGGTGACCCTACAGCTCCCAGTCCAAGCCCCCTACTGACTGAGCCACTGCCACACAGTTGTTTCTTTCTGTTTACAATGTTTAAACACTAACACATCTTTTTACTATTTGTTTGACAAACTGCTGCCAAAATCCACAGTGCAGGGAGAGGTTGATTATGAGAGGACACATTCCTCCACTGCC